TTTTTTTTTTTTTTTTTGGCCTGACATTTACAAGCTAAATAATTTTTTTTTAATGTTGTTGTGCTTTGTGTCGTTTGTTTGTTTTTTTAATTCATACTCAAGTAAAAAAATTGTGAGGGCACATTTAATAAAGGCGGTACTTTGTAAATTTTAGTGACTTGACCACAGACACTGCCAGAGTAAACTAAAGGCGAATGAGGCAAGTATCCGGGCAGACGCCAGACAGTGCCACATGATGGATATTAAAGGCCTCCTCTAATGTTTTGATGGGCATCACAGGCCTCCCCTTATGTTGTAATAGGCATCCCAGGCCTCTCCTTATGTTGTGATGGGCATCCCAGGCCTCTCCTTATGTTATGATGGGCATCCCAGGCCTCTCCTTATAAGAAGTTTTAGGAAAATGTGGAGAGCCGAAAAAGTCACAAGTCGTATAAACTTTCTTTAGAATATCAGAGAGAATTTAGATCGAACTCATAGAGAATTTGAGAGAATTTTTGTGGGACAAAATAATAATTTTTAGAAAAATATATGGAATTTTGATCGAATTTGAGAGAATTTTGTAAGACTTTTAGCGAATCTTTATACTTTGAGAGATTTAGAGATCATATATTACTAGGTATGATACATATATATATATATATATATATATATATATATATATATATATATATATATATATATATATATATATATTTTTTATTTTTATTTTATTTATTTTTATATTTTATTTTGTTTTTTTTTTTTTTATATGTATGTTATTTATAATATATATATAGATAGAGATATATATAGTATATATATTTATATATTATATATATATATATATATATATATATATATATATATATATATATATATATATATATATATACATATTATGTAAATTTAATTCATTCCTATTTGAATGTTACTTTGTGTGTTTTTGTTTTTTGTACTAATGAAAGCATTTACGGAAGCGTGTACATCTGTATTCTGTATATACATCGTTAAAGCTGAACATAAATTGTTTTATTTACACAAATTGTTTGTGTCTAATTAATCTGGTTCAGTGATAAAGTGATGCATATGGATAGATTAAGAGTTGCCGAACCAAGGCTCATAATACTCCCGTGGTTTCTCACATTTGGTTAACCCATCATATAAACATCAATGTCTCTATGGTATGCCTACATATAAACCCAGAAGTGCTTCCCAGGGCGTCGCATCTTTAGCACCCCTCTGGGAGAGGACATGGTGTCAACCCACTATCGATCTCCACAGGCTTTATTCCGGCGGTGAGCACAGACTCCCTGGCCGATCATCTAGTGAGCACAGACTCCCTAGCCGATCATCTAGTGAGCACAGACTCCCTGACCGATCATCTAGTGAGCACAGACTCCCTGACCGATCATCTAGTGAGCACAGACTCCCTAGCCGATCATCTAGTGAGCACAGACTCCCTGACCGATCATCTAGTGAGCACAGACTCCCTGACCGATCATCTAGTGAGCACAGACTCCCTGACCGATCATCTAGTGAGCACAGACTCCCTAGCCGATCATCTAGTGAGCACAGACTCCCTGACCGATCATCTAGTGAGCACAGACTCCCTGACCGATCATCTAGTGAGCACAGACTCCCTGACCGATCATCTAGTGAGCACAGACTCCCTGGCCGATCATCTAGTGAGCACAGACTCTCTGGCCGATCATCTAGTGAGCACAGACTCCCTGACCGATCATCTAGTGAGCACAGACTCCCTGACCGATCATCTAGTGAGCACAGACTCTCTGGCCGATCATCTGCTCAATCCACAAATACATTGCGGTGCTGAACTGGCCTGTCAGATGGCTAATAAAGTATTAAACACATACCACGATGACATGACTTCATTATTGGCATATTTGAATGACAGCTTATGCACCACCCTTCCCCGACCCCCACACCCCCCACACATCCTTCCACGACTCGCCACAACATAACTGTATCTGCTACCTATCCCGAGAGATAGTCCTGTGATCGCCGTTGAAAGGACGCGACCACGCCACACCCCTTGCTGCAGCAGGCGCACGTCCCACCTGCGACAGAGCGACGTCATTTTAGTTTTGATTGATACAAAATTTTCTTTCAGAAAACCACCCCCATAGCGTGCACCTGTGGCAGAATAAGAACATCAGTGTTATATTTTTACTTCACGTCTTAGGTAAGATTAGCTTAATTTACATCAATAATAATTAAATCATGATTAAAAAATAACGTTAAATTATTTGACTGTGAATAGTGTCCTTTTCATTGGTAATTTTTCATATTTTGGATTCCCGAAATTGTGTAGGCTACATCCGTTGGTAAAATACGTAGTTTCTTTTCAAAGTTAGGTACAGCAAAAATACAAATCATTTCGATATCTCCTCCGGTGGGGGGGGGGTTTGTGTCTTATCTAAGGTCTTATGCATCTGTATCAGTTGTCAAGCTTGCATTATTAGCGGAGCATTATATAGTGTCCTTAGCATGCCACTACAGTGTCTTTAATGTGCCACTACAGTGTCTTTGATGTGCCACTACAGTGTCTTTGATGTGCCACTACACTGTCTTTGCTGTGCTACTACAGTGTCTTTACTGTGCCACTACAGTGTCTTTGATGTGCCACTATAGTGTCCTTAATATGCCACTACAATGTCCTTAATTTGCCACTACAGTGTCCTTAATATGCCACTACAGTGTCTTTGATGTGCCACTAAAGTGTCTTTGATGTGCCACTACACTGTCTTTGCTGTGCTACTACAGTGTCTTTACTGTGCCACTACAGTGTCTTTGATGTGCCCCTATAGTGTCCTTAATATGCCACTACAATGTCCTTAATTTGCCACTACAGTGTCCTTAATATGCCACTACAGTGTCTTTGATGTGCCACTACAGTGTCTTTAATATTCCACTACAATGTCCTTAATTTGCCACTACAGTGTCCTTAATGTGCCACTACAGTGCATTTAATGTGCCACTACAGTGTCTTTAATGTGCCACTACAGTGTCCTTAATGTGCCACTACAGTGTCTTTAATGTGCCACTACAGTGTCCTTAATATGCCACTACAGTGTCTTTAATGTGGCACTACAGTGTCCAAATGTGCTACTACAGTGTCCTTAATGTGCCACTACAGTGTCCTTAATGGGCCACTACAGTGTCCTTAATGTGCTACTACAGTGTCCTTAATGGGCCACTACAGTGTCCTCAATGTGCCACTACAGTGTCCTTAATGGGCCACTACAATCATATGCATTTAAATAAAGCAAAATAAAATTATGAGAATTCTTGTTTTGCTTAGCTTCACTCCATAAGATTAAAGTCTTATTTGTAACGGGTGTCTCAGAGTTGTTACGGACTTTTACGGACAAAACCTTTGAGGTCAAAGTTGTACGGAATGTCCTTAAAAGGACGATGTGTTTGGAAACCTGTTACCCTCATAGCGCTCTAAGCGTTCCACTGGAGCGTATTTAGAGTGACACTATATTGTATTACCACAGGGTCTTGTGCAGGGTCTTGTGCAGCGTCTTGTGCAGGGTCTTGTGCAGGTTCTTGGGCAGGTTCTTGTGCAGGGTCTTGTGCAGGTTGTTGTGCAGGGTTTTGTGCAGGGTCTCACAATATTTTTCTTAAATTAAGTAACTGTTTTATTTACCAAAAATAGAGGAAAGTATCTACAGTACTTTCTTGGCCCCATTGAGTTATAATTTCATTGTATCTTTTTAATTTTCATTGAACTATCTTCAGTAGTTTCTTGCCCCTCCCCCCACCCCCAGAAAGTATATTTTCATACACAGCACGTTCTGACGGCACTGCACATCCATCGAACATGACGACCTCGATGTTGCTCCTGTGTCTTGTCGGTCTTCAAGTCGTTGCTCATGCTCTAGAGACTGGAGAGGTGGTGACCCCTGTCGGGAAGTTGAGAGGACTGAAGGTGGCTGCTGCTAATGGCGAGCCCTATTGGTCATTTCGTGGCATACCATACGCTGTTCCTCCCTTGGGTGATCTACGCTTTGCTAAACCAGTGCCTTACCCCTATCAAGGTAAAGCTATCAATGAATTATTCTTAACTAGTTTATATGTGATGTGATATATGTTTCTATGTAGCTCTGAGCCGCTGAGAAAAAAAACAACAGAAATGTTTAAGACATGGAGAATTCTTAGTTCAAAATAATGGTATCATGTTTGTTATTGTCTGTGGACCTGAATGAAAGGGACATAATCAATACCTTTTTATGTATACAATCAATACCTTTTTATGTATATAATCAATGCCTTCTTATGTATATAATCAATACCTTTTTATGTATGCTATTTTCAACTATTTCTTTGTGTAACTTTTGACAAGGTTTAGCTATTCATTATGTACTTATGGTGGGTGAGGACCATTCTCATTTCTTTACGAATCTCTGGCTAAAATCTTATTTACAAAAGGAATTTGTTTAAATTTAAATTTGGGAGGGGGGCTGCTGCGTATGTGGCTTGCTAGTCCAATTCGTGCACGGAATAGTCTCTGGCACTGGGGGCAGGTGATAGTTGCTGTAGTCGGTGGTCTGAGGTTGCTTTTTCGTGCTAGCCGACTCCCTTGGTGCTCTAAGAGTCAGTTTTAAGCTGTTTGGTCTGCGATAAGCTTATATACATGAGAGACACAAATTGTACGTTTATGTAGGCCAGATAGGTGTTCATTCTTTCATTAAAAAATATGGAGAATTTGTAATTTAATTCGCTTTGATGGATCTTTAAAATTATATTTTTTGTTGTTTTTTGTTTTGTTTTTTTTAACTGTGACATGATAAATCTACTTATAATAAGAGTATTTATAATTTAATTTTTAAAATTATTTAATCAAATGTTATCAACAGATGAAGTCATTGATGGAACACGGCAAAGAGCTTCTTGCATTCAAGACCCTCAGTTTCTATTACCGAATGAAATCATGTCTGAGGACTGCTTATTTCTGAACATATTTGCCAAAGAGATCAACAAGAAGTCACCGATTAAAAAGAAAGCCATATTCTTTATTCACGGCGGTGGTTTTTTCTTCGGTTCAACTTTTATTTACAACCCTGGAAGTTTTGTCACAGAACAGGACGTCGTGTTTGTAACCATCCAGTACCGCTTTGGCCTGTTTGGATTTCTGACCACAGAAGACGAGAATGCTCCTGGCAACTACGGCCTGTGGGACCAAGCACTCGCTCTGAAATGGGTCAAAAACAATGTTGCCGCATTTGGTGGTGACCCAATTGACATAACCATAGCAGGAGAGTCAGCAGGGGGGTCTTCTGTATCTTTTCTTACTCTGAGTCCTGTCACAAAAGATCTGTTCACCAGAGCTTATTCTAGCAGTGGAGTAGCGACATCATTGTTCGCGGTAAATAACTTAAACAAAGAGGCTGCGCGCGCTATAGCAATATTTGTAAACTGTTTGGATAAAGATGAGACCAGGATGGGAAAAGAAGTTATCCAATGCCTTCGTTCACGTCAACTTTCAGATTTAGCTAGTTTTCCATTGATTAGTAATTCTAGAACATTGTTTCATCCTTGGGGAGATGGTGAGTTTCTACCCAAATCTCCATTTGAACTCATCAAAGATGAACAATACTTGGAAAAAATTGGCTTTTACAAAAGAAAATATCTATTTAGTCTCAACAACCAAGAAACTACCATATATGGTACATTTTTGTTTCTTAACGAAGCCATTATTTTTAATGATACGACTCTTTCTGAGGAAGAAAAGTTTAACAGGTGGCAGCAGTATTTGTCAGCTGTGTCAGAAGAGGTGATTGCTGATAGACTGCAACTTGATAATACACCACCTGAATTGCTCAAGAAACTTCGAGATTGGTACCAAGCCAGAAATCCTACGCCTTATGATGTACTACAACTTCTCGCCGACGCCAATTTCATTATTCCTACCTTTGACTTGATTAGCACTGTAGCGCGAAACAGAAACACGGAATCATGGCTCCTCTATTTCAACCACTATCCCCAGTTTATGAAGGGGGACCTGAAAGGTCTCATTCACGCCTTGGACCTGGCCTACTGGTTTGATTTAGGTGCCGGTAAAAATTTCTTGCTGCACCTCATGGCCCCAGGAGCAACGGGTGTATTTGAGGAGGAGGATTTCAGGTTGAGAAGGATTTTCTCTGATACTATAGCGTCATTTATAAAAACTGGGTAAGTATCATCAATGCCAACTAGTTTATTGGTGGTATTTTATTGTTTGCCATTGCATAGCTACACATGGAGCCCCGTGGAGTGTGCAGAGCAAGATGAGGCACGTAGAGCGTCTTGGTCATCCACTGCATCCGTACTTACCTCTGGTCGTCTTGACTTAGTCTTGCCACAGGAAACGGTGGGTCCGGAGAACAGAGTGAGGTTGACGCTGCGTAACTCTTCCTCACTTTAAACAAAGTCACCCGCGCAAGTCATCAGGCATCCAACAAACAAACACAGAAGAGAACATAGATAAGGTTTATAAAAACCTAAATACACATAGAGCATACATTGGGTACACATTAAGCACGCATTGAGCACACATTGAGCACACATTGAGCACACATTGAGCACACATTGAGCACACATTGAATAAACCATTTTAAGCCCATAATTTGCTCATCCTAAAATAATATCAACATAAAACATTCCATAAAGAATATAACGTTTTAAAAATATGTTGATATATTCCTAAAGCAAGAGTTCTTAAACTATGCTCCATTGACCCCTTAGGGTCTATAAATAGGTTTCAGTTTTGCACGCTTCATCTCCCATGTATTTGTGTTATATGCATTTAAAAACTTTTCTAAGTAGGGTTCCGCGGCGATGGGGTCCATGGAATCAAAAGGTTTAGGACCCCTGCCTTAAAACCATGTCTTTAAAAGCTGTTTCATTTAAATGATGAGAGCAACTGGTGTTTCCTTTTGTTGGAGAATCAAACTGCATTTATAACACGTTTCTGTTTTATGAATGAGAACAGAACTAACACCTTAGACATTCTGTCTTAAACACAATGTCTGTCTTAGAGAGTTTTGTGTTCTTGTTGTTGTTGCTATAGCCAAGAACAAAACAAAAAATGCCTCCCAATATTTATAAATGTTTGTCAGTAATTTATGTTTTAGAAGTTTTCAGCTTTCGAAATTGAATGTTCTTTTAACGTTGAAGTGTAAATCATTATGATGAATTTATATACTTAATTTATACTATTGATAAGAATCCTAACTTTGTTTAATTAAAAGGATTAATTTTGCAATTTTTGGAATGGCGTTTGAATATTTAATTATTGATTTCAAGATAAAAATGATTTTCTTGCCTCTGTTGAGTAGCCTACTTAAAAATAAGCAGTTTACCGAAATAAATATCATGTCTATGTCTACTTTATAAAAGTTTTAATATTAACGGTTCATTCCGAAAAATAAATAGGATTTTCTAGCTTTTGCTGAAGCAAAATCCTGAATTTTATCGGTCTAATCCAGGGGTCGGCAACCTACTGGGACGGAAGAGCCAAAAGTTACAATTTACAAAATTTCCCAGTTTTTAAAGAGCAACTAACATTTTTATTTCAATTTAATTATGAATATTTGCGCATGGAACTGGAGAGCCGCATTTTGACATCAAAAGAGCCGCCTGCGGCTCGTGAGCCGCAGGTTGCCGACCCTTGGTCTAGTCCAACTCTTCTACAATCTTTTTTTAAATTGATTATATAGCTAAGCCACCCAAACTAACTAGAAACACCAATTTTCAATTATATGAAAAAACTTTACCGTTTCTAAGTGACAAATTGCAGCATCCTGAAACACCAAATTCAATTGATTCGGACTGCTTGGAACAAGGGACAGTCTACCGCATCCTTAAACACCAAATTATTATTCTTCTTGCCTTTTTAAGGAATATAATTGAGGTTGTTTGTTCGGCAGATTCAGTCCCACAAACGATTTGACTTAAACTTGACTTGAAATTTTTATGCATGTTCATTTACTACTTGATAGGATCTCCACTTTGTCATATTTGTGCCTGGGGCTAGGATCTCCACTTTGTCATATTTGTGCCTGCGGCTAGGATCTCCACTTTGTCATATTTGGGCCTGGGGCCTGTATTTGGATAAGGTCATCCTTTCGTTTTGGGATTCATTTAATTCTAAATCTAATTTGCTGCCACGATGGCAAGATGGTGAATTTTTAACATATTTTATTGAAAGTTTAAAATCATCTTCTCTAACTTTTGATCAAAGTAAATCATTCATTGTCAACTTCGTTACGGTCGGTGTTCTGTTCATTGTCAACTTCGTTGCGGTCGGTGTTCTGTTCATTGTCAGCTTCGTTACGGTCGGTGTTCTGTTCATTGTCAACTTCGTTGCGGTCGGTGTTCTGTTCATTGTCAACTTCGTTACGGTCGGTGTTCTGTTCATTGTCAACTTCGTTGCGGTCGGTGTTCTGTTCATTGTCAACTTCGTTGCGGTCAGTGTTCTGTTCATTGTCAACTTCGTTGCGGTCATTGTTCTGTTCATTGTCAACTTCGTTGCGGTCGGTGTTCTGTTCATTGTCAACTTCGTTGCGGTCGGTGTTCTGTTCATTGTCAACTTCGTTACGGTCAGTGTTCTGTTCATTGTCAACTTCGTTGCGGTCAGTTTTCTGGAAATATGATCAGATTTCGTCCTGGCCGCGGAGAATTTTTTTTTTCAAAAAATTGTCAGAGAAAACTTTAATTTCTTGATTTCAACCTGCGCCTAGTAAATTAATGTAACTTTCTGTTGTGACAGAATCACAAAATTAATGTAATTTTCTATTGTGACAGAATCTCAAAATTAATGTAACTTTCTATTGTGACAGAATCACAAAATTAATGTAATTTTCTATTGTGACAGAATCACAAAATTAATGTAATTTTCTATTGTGACAGAATCACAAGAAGGTTACGAGATAGTTAATATGATTTTAAATATTTGTTTTCCCCAGCAATCCACAAGTAGCTCCTCTGAAAGAACTTCGCTACGGATGGCCAAACTTTGACCTCTGTAACGGTTATTATTTGGACTTTAACCCCAGACCTTCCATACAGAAAAACTTGAAAAGAGAAGTGCGACAACTGTGGGAGAAAGATCTGCCATCTTGGGCATTCCAGGAACTGGCGCATCAAGATATAATTAATTGAATCCGCAAATTCCCGTGCTTTTTCTTTATCCAACTTTTATACTTGTTATATAAATATTCGATACGTATATCTACGAAAAAATAAAAGTACCTATCTTTCACGATAAAAATACCTATCACACTAAAAGTACCTATCACATTAAAGTACCTAAAAATTGTATTAAAAGTACCTATCTATCACATTAAAGTACCTAAAAATCGCATTAAAAGTACCTATCCATCACACTAACATTTCTTCGCCTTACCCAATATTTGTAAACCTCATTGTTTATAGTAACTATTTCAAAATTCAATCATTTGAATGTTACTCAATAGGATATAATGTGTAGCTTAATACTATGAATTTTAACATGCATAGACAGTTTAGAATTATACTAAGCCAGTGAATACAAAGCCTGTGTGTACTAGGCCAGTGAATACAAAGCCTGTGTGTACTAGGCCAGTGAATACAAAGCATGTGTGTACTAAGCCAGTGAATACAAAGCCTGTGTGTACTAAGCCAGTGAATACAAAGCCTGTGTGTACTAGGCCAGTGAATACAAAGCCTGTGTGTACTAAGCCAGTGAATACAAAGCATGTGTGTACTAAGCCAGTGAATACAAAGCCTGTGTGTACTAGGCCAGTGAATACAAAGCCTGTGTGTACTAGGCCAGTGAATACAAAGCATGTGTGTACTAAGCCAGTGAATACAAAGCCTGTGTGTACTAAGCCAGTGAATACAAAGCCTGTGTGTACTAAGCCAGTGAATACAAAGCCTGTGTGTACTAAGCCAGTGAATACAAAGCCTGTGTGTACTAGGCCAGTGAATACAAAGCCTGTGTGTACTAAGCCAGTGAATACAAAGCCTGTGTGTACTAAGCCAGTGAATACAAAGCCTGTGTGTACTAAGCCAGTGAATACAAAGCCTGTGTGTACTAAGCCAGTGAATACAAAGCCTGTGTGTACTAGGCCAGTGAATACAAAGCCTGTGTGTACTAAGCCAGTGAATACAAAGCCTGTGTGTACTAAGCCAGTGAATACAAAGCCTGTGTGTACTAAGCCAGTGAATACAAAGCCTGTGTGTACTAAGCCAGTGAATACAAAGC